TTAGGGTGTAGGGCTTTGGGTTGAAGGTTTAGGGTTGAGGGTTGAGGGTTGAGGGTTTAGGGTTTAGGATTGAAAGCTTGGACTTTAAGGTTCAGAGTTTAGGACCACCCTTCAGGAACTTTCAGGGATATATGGGCTTTCCCAAACTTCGGGGTACCTTTTGGAGGGTATATGGGGGTCCCCCTATTTAGGGAAACCACGATATGGAAAATTTCGGTTTGGGGTCGCTAGGAGGGCTGACGTAGGGATTGCTTTGAGAAATACCATCCTCGACGCCAAGAGGTGTCAAGGTCGCAAAGACATAGGCGTATGCGGCACCAGCAGCATTCCAGTAGATATCAGGGAGGCTAGCGTTGATGCCAAAGCCCGGATTATTGTCATCAGGCATGATGACGCCAAGTTCATCTAAGTCAATCTTGACGCTCGGGAAGGATGAAGCACCTCGCATCACCAATACCTGCTCCTTGATGCTTTGAATGTAATTGCGGAAGTAGCCAAAGAATCCGGCAGAGTAAGTAGATGGATCTGTGCGATTGGCACAAGTTGCATAGCCATGCAAAGAAAAGTAATCTATAGGCGGGGCCGGCGATGTGTGATTGCTGCGATTCAGGAAGGCCGGAATCCAATTTCCCCAGTCGTTTGGGCCACCAAGTCCCATGAAGGCTGGAGCATTGTCAATGCCCCCAACTGCCTTTAGGGTTTAGGGTTTAGCCCTGAACCCCCTAAACCGTACTCTAAACCCTTAAACCCTAAATCCTAAACCCTAAACCCTGAGTCCTAAACCCTAAAACCTAAACCATTTAGGGTAAGGCTTTTGCAGGGAGGATTTTGGGAAACTCCAAGCCTTGATCATCTCAGGTACGATAACATCATAGTCCTTAGCTGACTGTAGGAGCCCTCGGTTAAGGGTTTAGGATTTAGGGTTTAGGGCTTAGGATTTAGGGTTTAGGGCTTAGGGTTTTGGGTTTAGGGCTTAGGATTTAGGGTTTAGGTCTTCGCATTTAGGGTTTTGGGCTTCACGTCCCCAACCCTAAAGCCAAGCTAAACCCTCAACCCCCAAATTCCAGTTTCCGTTGCATGTTGAATTCATCCATATGGTTCTCCATTCTTCTATTAGGGAAATATTGGGGTAGTATTGGGGTTAAATTGGGACAATGGAAAATAAAAGGGAAACTACTAGATTATCAACTTCTAAACACTGCAAACCGTTTAAGCCCATGTATAACCGCTATTTAACCCCCCGAGGCTGTCCTGTTTAAACCTAAACCTTAAACCCTAGACCCTGAACCCTGAACTCTGGAGCCGAATCCGCAAAGCTAAAGCCAGCCAAGTGTCATGGATGTACTGCTCAGGGGTGTAGCCATGCTCCGCTTCGTTGAAAAGCTCCCAGACGTGACCATTCTGGCGATTGAGGCGGGTATATGCTGGCCCACCTGTGCTACTGGGTTTAGGGTTCAGGGTTCAAGTCAAGGATGAAGGGTCTAAGGCTCAAATGGTTGAGGGCTTAAGAAGGATTGGAAATGTGAAAAAAACCGATCTTCAAGTGATCCCAGGTCCTGTGTGCTTGATGCCATTCTCATCCACAAACTCACCCTTCACCTGGGTCCAAGGGCTTGCGATATAGGTTTTTTCTTGCAGCGTTCTTTTCGGCTGGGACTGGAGTGTAAGGTTTGAGGTTTAGAGTTTGGGGTTGAAGGTCCTGGCAAAGGTAAACATGCCAGCCGGGCTCGGGCTCAGTTATTGCGGGCTTAAAGCTTAGTATGTTGCATCTATCCCCCTCCAAATGGATATAAAGTATAGTCTAAACTGCTAGTATCCCCCTTCATAACCCCTATAGTCGTCCCCTATATAATCCCCCATATAGCCTTCAGTTACTTCGACTAGATGGACCCTAAACCCATAGAGATTATCAGATTCTAAACCCTAAACCCTAAACCATTCACAAAAGCCTTTGTGGGGGCTCCATGCTGATTTGGGGAGGCTACAACATGAACTCGAAGGCCTAAACCCCAAGGCCTAAACCCTAGGGTTTTGGGTTCAGGGTTTAGAGTTTAGGGTTTAGGTCTAGGCCCCCAAACCCAAAACCCCATATGTGCCCGTGAACCCCCCGGTTTCCATTTCCGTTTGATTCTCCTTAGGGTAGTATCCCTACGTAACCGCCCCTGTAATCCTTAACCCTAAACCCTATATGGGTGGTTGTCAAAATTAGGGTCCCTTTTTGGATCCCTATTCTAATACGGCACCTAATATTTAGGGTACCCAAAAAGGGACCATAATTTTGACAACCACCCATATGTATAACCCCTATATAGCCCCAATATTAGGGTAGTTTCC